TCACAGCTGCCGAGGATACCTCTTGAAAATTAAATTTGAAAGCCGCAAAACAGGCACATGGGCTCCTCAGGGAACGTCACCACAAGAAGCGAACAACTTCCTGAATGTATCCAAGAAGATATGGAACATCTTTTCTTCCTCTCAGAGTTCAAAATTGCCATGATAAATTAAGAACATGGAGGAAAACACAGAAAAGCTTGTGAGGGGATACAAAACAAAACAATGTCCCAAGAAATAAAATCAGGGCCTCCTCCTGGTGGCGCAGCGGTTGAGCGCTTTTGCGAGGCTGCCCGCAGCCTCTGCAGCGCCAGTTCGATCCCCAGCCACCGGCAAGGGTCCCACCAAAAAAAAAAAAAAAAAAAAAAAATCAGTGAAGAAAAGACAGAAATTGAATCTAAAAAAATGGAGCTACAAGATGTGAAATGATCAGTAGAGGTGGTTAAGAATTCTGAAGAAAAGCAATGAAGCTTTGACTCAGTCCCCCCAAAGATGATAATGCACAAAGGATCCCGGTAGAGGAATAAGCAGCAAGAAACTGGTGGAAACATCTGGAAATTATCTGACTCTATTAGCAAAGACAATGTAAGAATCATGGTTATTCCAGAAGGGGTAAAGAACAGCACATATTCAAAGAAATAGTGAAAAACTTCTTTCTCTAACAGATGCTGAAATGCTCAACAAAATCTAAACACGCCAATTTCAACAGTGCATTAATACCACCACCCATGAGCAAGTGGGATGCAGGAATGGTACGATACCCAAAAATCAATATATTTCTCCACATAAACAACAGATAAAATCCATGATTTTATCAAAAGATGCAAAGAAAGTAATTTGATAATATTCAATTCATTTATGATAAAAATCTTCAAAAAAATGGGTATAGATGGAATATACTGCCACATAATAAAGGCCATACTCACAAACCAACAGCTAACATCATTGTAAATGATAAAAACCTGAAAGCTTTCCTCTAAGATCAGGTACAAACCAAGGACGTCTACTTTTTTTAAGATTTATTTCATTTATACATGAACCGGGGTAAAGGCCAGATGCACGGGAGGGTGAGAGGATTCACCAGAGACAGAGCAGGGAACAGAACAGACAGGCTGACGAAATACACTGCTGAGGGGAGCAGCGGGCGAGACAGGAGAGGTCTGTGCGCCATGTGGGTTGCTCCGAGGCCGGCAGGGATTTAACAGGCACTACAGAGGCTGTGTACCGCTTTGCTGCGCTTAACCACCTGCGCCATGAGGGAGGCCCAAGGATGTCTACTTTTACCACTACTATTCAACATAGAATTGGAAGATCTAGCTAGGATGATTAGGAAAAAGGATAAATGAAACCAAATTGGCGGGAAAAGCAAAACTATCACTAGTTACAGATGACATAATATACATAGGAAATTCTAAAGACTCCACTAAAAATTTCAAACAAAACACTACAGTACAGTGGCAGGTTAGGAAAAAAAAAAAAAAAAAAAACACTACCAAAATCAGTTGTGTTCCTCTATGCAAACAGTGAACTAGAAGAGAAAGAAATAATGAAAACAATCCCATTTAAAAATTACATCAGGGGCCTCCCCGGTGGCACAGGAGTTAAAGACACAGCACTATCAAGTGTTTGCCAGCCACTGCAGCAGCAGTTCGATCCCCAGCCAGGGACCTACCCATATGGCACAGCAGACCTCCCCTGGCTCGCCCGCTGCTCCCCTCAGCAGTGGATTTCAGTACATCTGTCTGTTCTGTTCCCCACTCTGTCTCCGGTGAATCCGCTTACCCCTCACACCTCTGGTCTCTACCCCAGTTCTTGTATGCATAAATAAATCTATAAAAATTACATTAAAAAGAATGAAATACCTAGGAGTATACTTAACAAAGAGCATGAAGGACCTGTACAATGAAAACTCTTAGAGATTGTTAGAAGAGGACACAAAGAAATGGAAAGATACTCCTTACCAATGATATTTAGAACTGTCATTGTTACAATGACCATCTTACCCCCCAAAATATACAATTCTATAAAATTGTTATCAAAGATTCAATAGCATTCTTCAAAGAAATAGAAGAAACACTACTGAAACTTACATGGTACCATAAGATATCTCCAGTAGCCAAAGCTCTCCTAACAAAAGTGAGGAAGAAAGGTGGTATCACAGCCCCAGAATTCACACTATGCTACAAAGCTGTAGTGATCAATACAGTATGGTACTGGAATAAGAACAGCCACACAGAACCATGGAATAGAATTGAGAGCTTAGAAAGAAACCCATCCTGGGTCTCCCTGGTGGCGCAGTGGTTGAGCACTGGGCTGTGAAGCTGCCCACAGCCTCTGCAGCACCAGTTAGATTCCCGGCCGCTGGCGAGGGTCCCACATGGCACGCAGACCTCTCTTGCCGTGCCCGCTGCTCCCCTCAGCAGTGTACTTCATCTGTCTGCCTGTTCTGCTCCCCACTCTGGCTCTGGTGAATTTTCTAGCCCTCCCGCGCTTCTGACTGTACCCAGTGCTTGTATAAATAAATCAATCTTAAAAAAAAAAAAACACTGAAAAACTTTGCACAGCAACAATTTCTAGAAATCTGACTTTACAAATGAGGCTAACAGGGGTGGGGGAAGATGGCCAGTGAGTGGACTATAGTGGAAAACTATGGGGCTAGGGCGGTAGGTGTGGTGGCATACACACCACGTGTCATTGACAGGGTGTGATCCAATACCTCTGGATCATACATTGCATTAAGAAAAAAAGGGTGAACAAAAAAGCACTGAGGAGGGAATTACAAGTTCTACATTATGTCTCCCCAGCTGAGTATCAGGGGGGAGGAAGAGAAGATTCCACCGGTGTAGACAGACTCATAGATTTGGCATTTAACACTGATTTTCAAGTTGAAAATACTGACTTTAATTTTTATCTCCTTATTTGGATCCTATTTTCTGCAGATGTGATGATTTTATATAGTGTTTTATATATTTATATATTTCATTGATATATTTATTTCATATTGTATAGAAAATAGAGGTTTTATGTATTTTCTTGTATTTTATATACTGCAGGGACGATCAGAACATTCTTCCCTTTCTTCAAATTTTGAATCTTTCAGGAGAGAATGAATTTAAACCTGATTTACACAGATAAAAATCAATCTCACTCTCCCACAGCCCCTCTGTCTCTCTCTCTTTCTCTCTCCATTAAATGCAGCAGTAGCCCCAAGAGACTGGAAAATACTTGTTATCTGTGCATCTTTCATTTTCTTGATAGCTGTTTCATGTATTCGTTGGGCAGGAAGATTTGTTTTCTAATTAAGAATCTATATTATAAGCTCATATTCCCTTCAGCTATTAGGATTTCCCTTAGACTTCAGACATTTATTTGTTAAGCAAACACTCTGAATAAGTGATTAACCTATGCAAAAGCATTATAGAGACATTCAGGGGAAAAATATCCACAAACTCTTTACTGTGAGCCAGTCCTTTAATTCAGGCCTGGATGGGGGCATGCTCACAGGCTAGAAAGACACGGGGTCAGATTGATTTGAGATTAATTCTCAGCTCTAAGATGCAATCATCTCACTTTTAAAATGGGGAAAAGAGCATTGACTCCTAGGATTTTTTGGAGAATGCATGTCATTCCCCACTACCTACCGAGACGTAAGTAGGTGACTATTAAAATTGTTCCTGTAATTGCTGTGGGGTTTGCTGTAATTCTCTTTGTATACAAGATCCAGGGTCTCTGCCTCTTGATACCACTTTGCCCTCAGAACAGGGTATCCCGAATGACTTTCTAATCCTTAATATATCTGAGAATAAAATTTAAAATATATCCATTAACAACTTTGGTCATGATGCTAAGGAAGTGACTTCTGGATGATTCTGATTTGTCAGCACATCATATTTTCATGCTGATAGGTAACATGCAGGAGTGTGCTTTTTATTTATCAGATTTATACAATCTGATCTTGTGCATTGTTTCAATGAGGAAATGATATATGCTGAGCTCTTCTACTTAGCAAAGCTTTTGCTCTAAAGGTGTCTCAGGAGTGTATTTCTGTGAGGAGTTGGGTACAGCGTAGCCATATGGCAGCTGACCTGTGGTGTCTCCAGTGAGACACAGGGAAAGGCATTTGGGGAAGTGGCTAAGGTGTTAGCCACCAGTGACAGACATGGGGCTGTCCACGGTGGCCTCGATCCCTCAAGTCCATTTACAATGCCTGTTACTCGCCACTGCTAAAATTCAGGAGATACGTTTTGCACTGGGCTTAGAGGAGAGTGAAGTAAAGCGAGAGGAGTAACTATTAGTGTAATTACAAAGAGACCTGTCTGATCTCTGCTTCAACGGCACATATGGTGGGTGTTCGCGGACTTCAGTAGCTACCACTCTAATAAGCCCCGTTAATTAGGTAATGGGAACATTCTCACATTGTGACAATGGAGTTTTCTAACTCACTCAAATTAAACAAAGCTAATTTCCTTAAGTGTTGAGATACCAGATGGCCCCAGAGGTACACTCTGCTACGCAACCAGAGGAATCAGCGCCTTTGTGATCCGTGAACTAGCTTTTTTGGACTGGAAAAAATAGCTTCTCGGAAAGTAGTTCGGAAACGAAGAAACATATTCATTGGCTCATTTTTTGCTTAAAAAGATTAAATCGATTATTGTATGGACATGCAGAAACATGAGTATTTGCAGAAACATGAGTATTTGCACCATCCGTGTGCTTAATTCAGTATGTGGCCTCTAAACCTAATGCCCCCTAAAGTATGTACCCCAGCTTCAGAGCAACAGGGTGACATGCTCCCCACCTGCTTCCCTGTCTCTTCATCTCTGCAGATGTCAGTCGTTTAGAAAGGGAGGATATATGTAAGAACTGAAAGGATTCTAGAATTGCCACTAACCAGTCACTCAATTTGTCAATGGGAGAGGGAAAACTAGAGGTTAGTGGCCTGAATATAATCAAAGAGTAAGTGAATGTCGGAACCAGAAGCTAAACATTCTTCTTTCTTGCAGAGCTAACCACCCACTTAAGAAAAAAGCTGCAGTGTGACATACTTCACGAACCCTGAGAGTCACCCTTGGAAAGCATACAATTCAGTAGTACGAACTCGCTTTTCTTTCCTAGCAATATCTAAAGCGATGGCATGTACTTCTCCAGGCCTTTCTCATCCACAAACTGTATTTAAGATCTGACAACAAAAGCCTCCAGAAGTCCTGATAAGTTCTTTAAATGTGAGCTCTCTCAGGCGCCAGGAACTGCGCGCAAGTCCGGTTTAAGCATCACGAGAACTGTGACATCTGCTGCCTGCAGACCCATTTCTGGGCACTTGTGAACCAATGAATTAACCCAACAAACAGCTTGACTTTGTGACGCTGCATCCCACGAGGAAAAGAGAGAAAACAGTGTTTCCAACATACAACATTTTGGATGATGGAAAGTGCTGTAGGCAAAAATAAAGAACAGTCAAGGAGACGGATGTGTGGATGTGTGTGGTTGGCATGAGAAGAAAACAATTTTGAAAAGAAAGGTTGGTTTAGGCCTCACTGAGAAGGGGCACGATGCATCTAGAAGCCAAGAACAATCTTTTAAGGATACATCTACAAGTACATATCATTAGCCTTTAAAAAAAAAAGTCATTGCATTAGAAGTATCACAAACAGAAAAAGTGTATAACTCAGATTTTTCACGAAATGATTATGCATGCTAAAATTCATTTTGGTTTTTTTCCTAGATGACAACACCGATGCTGAGAAAGGGAAGTAATGAGCCTACCACCACACTACTCCCAGGTGCCTGAGCCAAAATTGAGACTCTGGAACCTTCACCCTTTGCTTTTAGGCTCAAGTTCTCTTAAGACAGAAGTGCAACTGGACTGGACTTGGAAAACTGGATTGGGAGAGAGACGCAGGGGACTAAGTATGGAACAGCTGAATTGTTTCACTGAATGAGGAGGTCTTGGCCTCCAACAATGGAAGAAAATTCAGAAGCAATTTACTGGGCACCCTATCTCTAGTTATCTGGAGGGTGCTGCTGTGTCTCCGAGTTACCACAGAGTGGCAGTGTTTCAGAGCTTAACTAAAGTTAGCAGGTGTTTTCCAAAGTCCCCAGTTCAGCCCTCTTTCAGAACCTACTAGGGGTGTTTTCTTTTTTGCCCCATGTATTTTACAGATTACAGAATTTTCATCCAAATAAAAAGTATTTCTCTCTGTAAATTTCCTTTTTCATGGAAAATGATAAGTAGGCGATGCAACAGTTACTCTCGTATCATAAGATTTGCTTTTGAAATAAAATACAGTGATTGCACAAAATTTGTAATTCAAGTTATACCACAGACTTTTTTTCGTTTGGTTATGCTGGAATACCTGGTAGCAGATCAACACTTTCACCAGGAAATAAAAAATAGAAAAACAGATTTTTTAAAAAAAAAATCTAGCAACTGTCAGAAGACATCAGAGACAACTAAGATTTGAGGGGTGAAGATCTAAGAGAGAGGGAAGGCTCACAGAGGTGATAATTGCTTTTTTGTCATTCACTCTCCCCAGGTTCCACCTGAAGACATTTGTTTATTCTTTAGTTGCACTCGAGCAAGGGAATAAGAAACCAAGAGCAGCTGAAATATCTATGACGTCTTGGTGGGCTCAGTGGCTGGGTCAATCACTGAGTTTGGGATCTGTCAGAGAAGCATGACCCAGATAAACACCCCCCAAAATGAAAACAAATCAGTAGTTGATGGACATGCTTTTCTAACTGAAGTTCTAGCTTAAGTCAGCTATATACCTCATTAGATTGTATTCATTCCCCCCTTCCCTACCTGCCCAAGGTAGTCAGAAGATATCTTTCTGATAAAAAGGTAATATCATTCAAAGCCCCTATAACACTTAAAACAATGTCTGGCTTTCAAAAAGAAAAAAAAAAAAAAAAGGACTAAGATTTTAAAAAAGTAAGTAGGTAATCCAGATAATGAATTTGTCACTTATTTTCAAATAAGATTAATATATTACAGAAAAGGTGGAATTGAACCAAAGAACTCAAGTCTTGGAAAAAACCCACAAATTTCAAGAACAAATGATAATTGATGCTAACAACCACCACCACTACAGCACCTGTCAAATAGTATGTTGGTTCATACTGCCCTCTTCTGTCTCCCCATGCTGCTCCCCTCAGCAGTGTATTTCTGCTCCTCACTCTGTCTCTGGTGAATCCTCTCGCCCTTCCCCTCCCATCTCTGGCCTACATCCCGGCTCTTAAGTGCAAAATAAATAAATCTTTAAAAAAATAAATAGCGGGCCTCCCTGGTGGCACAGGCAGTTGAACCCTGGTGGCACAGACAGTTGAGCGCCGCACTGTGAGGCTGTCTTACAGCCTCTGCAGCCTGGGTTCGATCCCAGCCAGCCAGCGAGAATCCCAGATGGCGAAGCAGACCTCTCCTGTCTCGCCCGCTGCTCCCCTCAGCAGTGTATTTCATCAGTCTGTCTGTTCTGTTCCCTGCTCTGTCTCTGGTGAATCCTCTCCCCACCCTGCACATCTGGCCTGTACTCCAGTTCTTGTATAGAAATAAATAAATCTTTGAAATAAATAATCTTTAAAATAAATAATAGGGCCTCCCCTGGTGGCGCAGCGGTTGAGCGCTGGGCTGCAAAGTAGCCCCCAGCCTCTGCAGCGCTGGTTCGATCCCTGGCCACCGGGAGAGGGTCACACATAGCGCGCAGACCTCTCCTGCCGCCCGCTGCACCCCTCAGCAGTGTACTTCAGTCCTTCTGCCTGTTCTGTTCCCTGCTCTGGCTCTGGTGAATTCTCTTGCCCTCCCGTACTTCTGACTGTACCCAGTGCTTGTATAAATAAATAAATAAATCAATAGCATGTTGGACTCGAAAATACTAGTGAACTAGAGTAGAACCAATAGTATATAGGCTAAAGCTCACAGAGAAAGAAAAGGGAAAACAAATCCCCAGAAATGTGTAGAATAGCAGTCACTTATGGTGAAAAGTATCACTGGACATCCACATAGGGAGGATTAAAAAAAAAAAACAAAAACGAGACTGAGTTTAATTCAATGAAGCAAAGGCCAACATCATTTCCGAAAGTGATTAAAGACATCACCTTACAGATTCAAGACACTCAGGGACTGTAAACAGGATAAACACAAGAATCACCCCTTGTCACATATCAGCTATCATTTGTTGTTGTTCTAGAAATTTGTGGGTTATTTCCTAAGACTTGACTTTTTTGGTTAAATTCCACCTTTTCTGTAATGTATTAATCTTATTTGAAAATATGTGACAAATTCACACAAGGATCACCCCCTAGTCACCCTGTTGAGTTCCCAAGAGGAAACCTTACAAGCAGTCATGGGAAAGAGGCAAGAGAGATTGACAGAGCAAGAGTAAGACTAACACATGACTTCTAAGTAGGAGATGAACACTGTAATTCAATGGATGTTCATTTACAGGAATGAAGAAAAATAGCTGGCCCAAGCTAGAGCTGCATCCAAAGAGAAAATGTCTTTCAAGCACAGTGAACCAATAAGACATTTCCCAATATAAAACAAGTAGAATTTCCTGCCAGAAAACCAACTGAAATACTAAGGGAAGTCCTTCAGCCCAAAGTGGTGACATACAGAAATGAAGTATGGTGTGTAGAGACAGAAAGAGTAAGTATGTAGTGAAATCCACATGAATATTAAGTGTAAAAAATAGTAGCAATTACTATTTTATTAGTAATTTTATGAAGTTTAGAATTTAATTGCATGACAACAATAACAAAAGCTAAGAAAGGGCACTATGGCATTAGAATGTTAACAAGCTCTAGAATCTATTGGAAATAATGGAAGCATTAATATTTATTAGACTCTAATAAGTTAGGTTGCATATAGTGAAACACATTAAAATTATCAAGTTCTGTAACTAAAAAGCTAATAAAGAGAAAATGGATTAATTAAAAGATAAGTGGTTAATCCAACTGGCAAGGAAGGAGAGAAATAAAGAAAAAGCGTGTGTGAGCACTCTTGGGTCAAAGGAGAATTCAAAATGGAAATTAGAGAATATGTTGGATGTAGAGCTCATGTAATGGGACATATCAAACATTATGTGATGCAAACAGAACACAGAGGAAAGATACAGCCTAAGTTATTAAAAATTAATATAAGTCCCTATTCTTAAAAAAATGGGGACTTAATAATAATGATATTGATGATTTAAGGCACCCCCATCAAGAAGCTAGTGAAAACAAAATCCAAAGGAAAGTATCGAAATCGGTCAAATGGAAAAAGACATCAGAATGAAGGACAGCAGTAATACCATCAGGAACAAAATAAAACCCACCACTAGCAATAGTGCTTACACATACTGTAGATTGAAAAAATCAGAAGATATTTTGCTCAAATTTGCATTAAGTTTGACAGCAATAAGTAACAGTTTATAATAAGTTAGATGAAATGGATAAAATGCTTTTAAAAAACTGATTAAAGCTGAGGAAAACAG